TATTTAATGATTTGTTAACATCCTACAGGCTCTGACATGTTAAGTACATTTGAAACTGAGCTTTTGAAAATAAAAATCCTTAAACCTGGAAAAAAAAATCTGTGAGATTGCTCTACACGTCCGTATTCCTGCAAAATTAGGGAAAATCCGTGTAAAGTATGGACAATCCGTCCAACTTGACATGTATGTGCATATTACTTCACAATATTTTATATCTATCAAAACGTTCGGCTCAATCAGAAACAGTGTGCTATAACTACAGCTTTTACTTTTAGATTAAAATATTTCAATTTAGTTTCAATAATTTTCCCATAAATAATAAACTGAGATCTTAATTTCTACAAAAAACATTGTTCTGTTAAATCTGCTTCAGGCTGCAAAATGTGTGTCCACTTGTTCTACTTTTAGCTTTTAGCTACCATTTTGCAATCATTAGCTACTCTTTTCCTACTCTTAGCTATCATTCTGCTCCTTTAGCATTTAGCTACTGTTTGCTAATTTTAGCTACTGTTTTGATCATTCTAGCTTTGACATGTGTCTGGCTCCTTTCAGCTACTGTTTTGCCAATATTAGCATTGTTTTAGCTAAATGTAGTATGTGTGTTGCTGTACCTAGCATCTGTTTAGCTTATTTTAGCCACTGTTCTGCTTGTTTTTTAGCACTCAGTCTTCTCTGCGTGCCAGGTCCAGCTCTTTGTCTCACCTTTTTGAAGACGGCTGGGTTTGGAAGAGGGGGCCCGAAAGGAGGGACATCTTCCCTCGCTGTAACCGACACCTGATGACCAAAGCAAAATTCGTTGGAATATTGTTATTTGATTGTGAACAAAGCAAACTCTGAGGAGACTTTAGCTTTGATTTTCTATACATGAACAAAAACCCAAATACCATTTTAGCCCGTTGTTTTCACTACCCCACACCAGGGGCCTCATGCATAAAGGATTGCGCAGCTTTCACACTAAAAGTTGACGTAAGGACAAATTTAGAAATGTGCGCCACACCAAAATATTCAGATGTATAAAACTGTGCGTACGCATGTTCCTGCGCACCTTTCCTTTATACATCCCAATGAACGTGGAACTGAGCGCATCTGAGACACCTCCCCTGACACGCCTCCATTTAAATCTGTTAAATAGATGTAAATGTGTCCAGAGTGTGAGATTCTCCTCAGACTGTCCTCTCTGTGGGATCAGAAATGATTTTTAGATGCAGGAAAAAATATAAATTAAATGGAGAATGAGTGAGAAAACTGTCTAAATAAGGAGTGGGCTGTAAAAATGAGTTTGCCACTCGCAAAGGTCTGTGTGTGTGTGTTGGCGTGTGCTGCTGTTTGTTAAGCTGCTGTCTTCAGCGACGCATGAGGCTGATAGACATTTCCACCTTTACACGTCTTTAATTAATGACTGTAAACACGGAGGAACTGATGAGTTTGGTAAAACTTAGAAAAATATTTATTAAATAGTTGAAGTGAAGAAAAGAGTCGCAGCAAGTTTCTGCTGCGGTCTGATTTATTTATATTTTAGAATCATGAAGTCTCTCATTCAGATCAGCTGCATGACTCCACTCAGAACTACAGTAAAATACCTGATTGTAATTTGTTAGATGTAATACAAATTAATTAATTAATTAATACACACTGTCCTCAATTCTTCTCATGGTGATATGACCCTACAGAACAGGTGACATTGATCCATAAATTACGCACAACTTTACGCAGCAACAAATCTATTGTGTGCGTTTTGTGGAGCTGAGGAATCATCACAGCTGAACTGTTCTGAATTAATCTGCTGAGTCGACAAAGTTTTTTTCTCAGTCAGAAATAAAATGTTTCTTAGACAATTCACACGTTTTATTTTCCTCAGCTGTGTGTGTACACCGCAGGCCTGCGCTCTGCGTGTGTTTCCAACTACGTGACAACAATATAAAAACAGTTTACAGTTTACAGACTGGACTGAGGTTCTTTGATCATTTTTAGACTGATTTATTTTCTTGTCTGAGGTTAAATGATTTTCAGTCCCGTGGTTCAGTTTCATCATCGTTCGAGTTTAAACAATAAAAACTCAAACTAAAATAAAAATCTAACGCTCTTCAGACGCTCCTTACATCCAGAAAACACAACAAAGTCATATTTCTGTGGATTCAGGTCAGATTCGTGACTTTGTGGGTTAAAATTGTCGACTGAAAAACTTTGCGTGGCTGCCGCACGTTCTCACGGCAGGTGAAAAGTGTGTGTAAATATGCACACACTTTTACGCAACGTTGGTTTTGATACATCCCAACGTGGACGTAGAACCTGGCGCATGCAACATTTTTATGCGCACGCACCGTTTATACATGAGGGCCCACGTTAGGGTTATCATTTGAACACAAACCAACATCTGCCTGGTACCTTGTATGTTGTGTAATCAGTACAGGGGTTCTCAGCCTGCACCAGGACGTAAGAGTGCAGGAAGTTGGAGGCGATCATGTCTGGAACAAACGGTGTGGGCTCTTCCTGGAAGACCGCCGCCACAATGTCGTTCCCTATGTGTCTTTTCCTTTGGAGCTGCGGGGAAAGGCTCATTAGTAAATCACTAGATGCTGCATGAACCAGAGAACARGTTTACTGTAATCATTAATCAGTAATCATTGGATGTCTGTCTACAACTCTGAAGGATTTAGAGTAAACACAATTCAAGGTGGCTGACACAGTTAATTGACTTTACACCACACAAAAAAGGCCATAACTTAGTCAGATTTACAGATAGAGCTAAAATGTGGTGTGGCAGGTATTGAGAGTCATTCATATCACCGAGCATCAGGTGAGAGTTCACATATTCTTGTTTTCAAGATTAGATTTCAAGATTTCAAGACCAAAAATGCATAATTCATCTTCATAAAACGCTCCTAATCTGAGACTTTGGCATCAAAGACAAAAGGCTAAATGAATTCCTTCAAGGAATCCTAGGCATTGAAATATGGATGTTTTTGACCAAGTAGCATTTAAATCCCCCGTGTGTTAGGTTTAAAGCCCGGTACCTGCTGAACGTCGCCCTCAGTGAAGGGGAGCTTCGTTGACACGTGAAACATAATCTCTCTGTGTCTGAAGACAGTGTAGACTGATTCAGASCCTGTCTGTCCATGAGACACGTCCAGTCCACCGCGGAACCTGTAACATCATCAAAGCCACAGCTGTATCTAACATGCAGCCAGCAGATTCAAGACTTTTCTTTCCACCTTTTTAAYGGATGTAGCTCAGCTTTGATACAAAAGTTTTTTTTCCCTCCAAAACTCCTGCCTTCCTTTACCTGTTCTCTCTCCAGCAGCGAGGCTTTAAATAAGAAGTGGAACCATATACAAAAAAAAAAAAAAAAAAAACTGCAGGAAAACAACACAGCTCTGATTACACGTCCATGTGGCACTTTCTTGCCTCAGATCCATTTCACTAAGCACTTTATCCCCATTTTGCATGCTGAGTCAGAAACAGCAGGACAAATAGCTGCAAGGTTACAGTAATTAAAMCCGTTATTTACATCCAATGTTTCTTTTCTTCTTCTTTTTTTTAGCTCTGTGCAGCTTTTTCATTTGTCTTTATTTAATTATGTTAACAGATTCAGTCTTCTTCTTTTGGCATTTATGACTGAATCACTGTTTTACCCTTTAAAATCGTGAAGTTCGATAGTATCCCCCAAGACGCTGAGAAACTCCTTAAAAGCAGGCGTCTCCTCGTCGTTCCCGAATAACTCTTCCTCAGATGTCTGACAGGAAAACACAACAGTAAAAAAAAACCCCATCAAAGATGAATCCTTGTGCAGCTAAGCAGAGGTCATCGGCTAGAAACCCTCACCTGTCCAAACTTTTGATAGACGACTCCAAATTTGAACGTGTTGTTCACCTCATGTTCATCATAAGCCACTATCAGCTGGGAACCCTGCACATTGCACAAAAACAACAWCATGGTTATTAGCAAAAACATGTTTTTCTCCTCCCCGACATGTCTCCAGGGCAGGTTTTATTGGGCTCATGCTTACATAAGGCCAATATGTGACAAACTGTCGAGGGCCCCAAGTGAGGACAGTGGTCCTGTCGCTGTCTTTGGCACACAGAGGCACAGATGGTTTATTTTTCCTTCCCTGAGGCACAAGCTAAAAGGAACGCTCCATCAAACCCCTCCACCGAGCGGAAGGGCAGCAGATCCATCTTACTCATTTTAGAAAAGTTGTTTCGGGAATAATGAGCTTCCTGAACATCAGTGACACTGAAGAATTAAGCGGCTTATTAATGGGAAAGTGTGAAATAAAAGCTGATACTCTTGTGGTTTGGTGTCAGAGGGTACGGAGACGTTAAAGAAGTGTGGAAACAACAGATGGGGAGGGGTTGGCAGCAACAATATTT